ATAATTTACCAAGTGATTGGACAACAATGACGTCTTCCAAGCATTTCATCTAGGAATTCACGAACGTTCTTTCACTCTACGCGAATAATATTTCAACAACTAGTAAATAAATTACTCCCCTTACATAGTCGTAATTCTGAATATTGATCGGGGCGGTCGACACTGTCAGCTATAGGGTTACACTTAGGGTATTTAAGGTGTGAAGCTCTCTTTTCGGAAAGGTCTGTGGTATAAAAATTCCGTATCCGGAATCTCGTCAATGAATCATGGGCAAGAATTAGCAAGAAAGGCTGATAATGAAAGGGCTGGCAGCGCCAAGCTGCTGAGCGTTATAAACACAGTTCACGAATTAAAAATATCTCGCTTAGATGCTCGATAAGAGGTAAGTGGTTTCCCATAACTAAGACCAGCGCTCACCAATAAGCGTAGAGGAAGAGGGCGAAGGAAGGCGCAGGTGCGCGAGCCGCGGGGGCGGGATAATTTGCAAATCAGCGTGGGCCGACCATTCGCTCGCTCTAACGTATTGGCGAATTCGTATATTTTTTTGTTTTCATTGGAGCACGACTTTGTCTTATCCGTGCCACTATCCGACAGCTTCGCGAATCATTTTGGCCGGTTGATCGGGAGAAAAGTGTACGCTCCTCCCTCGTTGATCTCTGTTCCCACTCGTTCGGAGAAATTATCCAACGACGTGTCAATTTTTCGTGGGAGTGGACGAACCAACGATCTTCGGGACATTAGCTTATCGTAATGAAAAAGCCCTCAGTTATGGCTCTTACCGATACAGGGGATACATTGAATCCTCTACATTTTGACTTTGCGCTCTTGATTTGCAAGATTGAAAATGGCAGATGATATTGCAACGGCCGAATCAGCAGACTGCCAGTGTAGATATTGACTTGACACATGAGAATTTCAATTATTGAGAGGCTGCTTAGGCTGGCTTGATTCTAAGATTTATGATCTTATTAAAAAGGCACTGAAATTCTGTATTGGAATAGCTTTCGAAATAGCCAATTTAAAATAAGAAGTCGACATTGTAAGGCTGGGATTTTTTATACATTCGATTACAGGACAAAGCCGGAACATAGAATTTTATATTATTTTTAAGTTTGCCTTTTATTTCTCGCTGGTGTTTATGCGCTCGAGAAATTATTTGTCGATTAACAACAGTCGCCCAGTACCATTTTAACGGACTTTTATTAACGAAAATTTAAAACATTTATCCTGGCATTATTAGACATGTATGTGTATGTATGTCATGTAAGTGTATAATGAAAAAATTCTTACCATTGATTAAGGGAACTCTTTCGCTTCATCTCCCACCACCTGCCTGCCCCTCCCTAATCGCCAAAATTCTGTGCCTTAACGGAGAGTCTTATCCTCTGTCAGGCCTAATACTAATGTAACACTGTACATGACTTCATCACACACGCATGGCCAGATACAATCTACACGGCTTGTCTCATTATCTCAAAAGCAGTTTTCCTCATTACCAGTTAGTACTGGGCACGACGAAAGCGAAAGCATCTCTATCTCTCTCTCTCTCTCTCTCTCTCTCTCTCTCCTCCTCCTCCTCCTCCTCATCCTCCTCATCCTCCTCCTCCACCCCGTCCACGTCCCCGTCCCAACCGCCGTATCTCTCCCGCACACGCACAAGCGAGCACTCACCAATCGACCCACCCACATACGTGCACACACATTTAAGCACGCTGATACGCACGCACGCACACGTACGTTTTGGCCATCAAGAGACCATCGGTCTCTTGATAGTTGGCGAGCGAGAGACAGATAGAGATGGAAATAGAGAAAGATAACGCGAGCAAGCAACCGTCTGGGAGTTAAGAGGAAAAAGCTTGCTTCCTGTTTCCGTTAAAATGAGATTGGTAGTCTATTCACGTGTGAATATGATATTCGTTTGCGAAAGCCTATCACTGTTTATCTTTTGCTTGACTCTTAATTATGAAAATGTTTTTAATCGGACGCAATAAGACTCTTGGCGCTTCTGACGCATTGTAATATTTATCTTCATAATCGTTTATACACACTTACCTTCCGTAATATTTTGAGGTATAAACAAGTATTTTTACAGTTGACAATGACGATTTTTATATTGTTGTCATTTAAATTATGGCCAAGAGAAAATCGAGCTTCACTCGCTTATAAATTAATATTAAAATACTAAGTTGCATTAGTACATTTGAAATTCATTGATACTTTGACAGCACATTACTCATGAGTATTATTAACTACTGGATACGATAATACCTACACTTCAAATTAAATTTAAACTTCATATTAAAAAAAAAAACATATTAAAAATTCTTCACATTAATGTGCTTTGCAATTACAATTATATAAACGTTAATGCTCGAACACTTGGGCACGGCATAAGTTTAGTTACTTATTCTGCTCAATATCGTAAACGGTTAGTTAGGAGATGTCAAAAATGGACAATTTTGATTTTTCACTATAAACGATATTTATTTAATGGCCTTTCAAAACCTAATTAAGTCACGTATGCAAAGATAATTTCAAAGGAAATGACGAAATCAAAAAAGAGAAATTTGTCAAAACTTGCGCGCCTACGCGCACTTTCATTATAATGACCAGAAAATTACATCAGCTGATCGATATAAGCAATATATATATATATATATATATATATCACCTGATTTGCCACTCGCAAACTGCAATGAGCATGCCACCAGTAAATTCGATCGAACTTTTATAGAGATTTATCAGACGGTCGGATCGAGTTATGGAGTATGGAGCTTCAACTCCATACTGCTAGATAAATTCATCAACGAGATGAGTTATTTGATTTTATATTTCTCTTTTAGCGTCTTCTCCATTCTTTTTGCTATTATCGATAAAAATTGTAAAAAAATTTTGAAAAAGTTTTCACGCTACGCTAAGCAACACGAATATTTATAAAATAATGTAATTAATAGTAAGGAGAAGTCTTGAATCAAGTACTATTTTTATCTGTTAAGCTGAATATTATTGTACGATAAGTTCTGACATCATTATAAACAAGATGATTAACGTAAATAAATAAAAAAAAAAAAAAAAAAAAAAAAAAAAAAAAAAAAAAAAAAAAAAAAAAAGAGAGGTTAAAATATAGTTTTTCGTATAATAACAATGGATTTTCTTATGTCGCAAAAGTCAATGTTATACGAAATTCTACCTATTGTCTATAATTTTTTTATTCCAACAGGCAAGAAACAATTTATTGTTAAAAATATGGATTTTTTTTTTTTTTTTTTTTTTTTTTTTTTTTTTTTTTTTTTTTTTGGTAATATTATAAGTAAATAATATTCAAAGGTTAATTATTCATTGATCAATTATGGTCTTCGGCGTTGAAAGATAAACTTAAATGACTCGTGAGCGAGCATTGTATAGGCGATTTGCAAGTATGGACGGTTGAAACAACGAGATTTTAAAATCCAGAATACAACATGACGTTATACGATTACGCTAAAAATATTTTATTTTCATTCAAGTTTCAAAAAATTTATTTAGATATTCTTTTCCTTCTTATACATTTTGCAACGATGATATTATTAAAATGCGGCCTAATTATTTCCTATTACTTAAAAAATAGTTTGTAAATACAATTTGTTTGCTTTTAAAATTCAACAAAAATTAACGAATTTTCGGATGCTTTCGTTAATCAATTATGATGAACAAATAAAAATAAACAAATAAAACAAACACTGAAGCGAGCAATTAAGTGAATACGAACACTACGAACACTATCTCATTTAAATGGGCTATTTCGAGCATTTATGAAAAAACGGGATAGTAAAACCAATGTCTATCGCTATCTTTACTACAACCAGTATTTATAGAATTAGTTATCATACGATTTACCCCAACGGTTCTTAATTAAATAGCTTAATTCGTCAAAAGAAGAAAAAAAAACAACCCTCCCCCCCCAAAAAAAATACAAAAACAAAAACAAATAAACAAACAAACAAACATAAAGGTTCGTTTTACAAGACATATTTGTTTCTATTGTTATATTACATACTTGTTGACATTGTTATACTAAAACTCTATGTTTTTGTTATTCCTAATTTAGTTCTTTATATAATCATCAGCCTGTACTCAATTAATACGTAATTTTATTCTGCTTCTTGTATGGACATGCGCAAAATAATATTTTGTTTATATCTATTCTCATGCTTATCCTTTTCTCAGTATATTCGAAAACTTCAAATAATAGTTTCATATTATCAATGTCTGTTCTATCAATTAATTTTCGTGCTACATGTATACTCATCTACACATGCTATTACAATATACAAAATCAAAGCCTCTTCATTATTACATGTTTCGTGTTACCTCTTTTATTTTTATCTCTATTTTTTAAGCACTGAGTTCTTTGCATAAAATAAATATACAAAAAGCAATGATTTTTTGGAGGTAAAAATTTTATATTTGATATT